ATTTTCCATCTTTCGCGATAATCATTATTTTCAAGTATGCTTGGAAGGTAGATATGGTTGGGTCGACGCAACTCGGTTGTTATGGTAACCTACAGAAATCTTGCTGACGTAACATCTTTGCGTTCAAAAGTTTTTTCTTTGAGCCTTTGCAGTCGTTGGGGGCGTTGAGACGAGAATCTTTCAGCATGAATAAAAATCATAACAATTATGCAGCAGGTGTCGAAACAGAAGTTTAAGTTGTCACAATCTTTCGATACGTCCTCATCGTAAAATAAACTAATATCGATAAAAAATGATGATTTTACGCAGCAGCTGAATGTTCTCTGGAAGTCATTGTCTCAGCCGGAAATATTGCTCTTTGCAACGAGTGAGATCTTTATGGTTCATTTTGCTATGCATAACGGGAGATAACTTCACGATGGCATGATCAGAGCTCCCAAGTGGCGTCCGATTACTAACAGAAGGCACTTATAATTGGTTAAAAATACCATGTGAAATGTTGCATCTAACCTGGTTAGAAATTGAGCAATATTCTTTGGCTCAAAATTCGCAATGAAGCTAGTGTCAGATCTGTTAAAATCGCCGGCAATAATGCACAGGGAGAGTTCCATGTATTCAAGGACCGCAGCTGTAAACCCGTCGTAAAATTCCTCGAGTTCGGAGCGGAGACAGCTGGGAGAGAGATAATATTAGCCAATAAAGTCGAACGGTAATCGTTCAGGAGTCTTGGTTTGCATTTCACTATTAAGCAGCTGATGCGTTGCGAGCTGTATTAAAAGCTCCTTTTAATTGACCTTCACCATGAAGAATTAAGCTAACTGATAACACCACTACCGCCTTTCCTTTGGGTACATTGGCTATCAACACGATAAGAGCTAAATCTGTCGAGTTCCACAACTACAACCTTTATGTGAAGCCACATTTCGTGCAGCATAATGATGCCCAAGCGAGAATACTCACTCCATTTTATACCACCTGAGCTGGCGTTCTTCGTATTCTTGCTCAACCTTCTCAGTTCTCCGCTGCAGTACTTTTTCCATTAGCGTATATATATATATATATATATATATATTCACCACGACCATTAGTACAGTTGGCATAGTGCTACAACGTATGGAAAATACAATAATCATACGAAGATAGAAGAAAAAAACCGATGTCCATGGGAATTGTAAGTCACAACAAGTCCGCCATTGTGCACGATTGGTCGCTAATTCCGAGCATGTTTCCAACCGTGCGCGTTCCAGATGGTTCACACTCCAGCCAGGGAGCGGAGAGCGCCCGACCACAGCTAACTTTGACGTTAGCTCCTTCATGCTCCTGGCCCAAGTCATACGTTGACCACCTTGCTTTCACTTCCAGCCGACTTCTGCATGCGCGAAGAGGGCACGGTGACAAAAGCGATGAGTAGGCATGCGGAGAACATGCCCAATCCACGGAAGTATGTGCAAGGAAATTATATTGTCTAGTGGTCGACAAAGTCTGTCTGATCTGAAAATCCTTCGTCGAATCTCTTCATTTCTAGTGTGATGTTGCCATCGTACTCCAGAAATGCTTCGAAGGCAGCGGTGATCAAAAACAGACAGCCTCTCAACATCCTTTGCGCAAACAGGCCAAGTCTCGCAGTCATAGAGGAGAACCGCTTTCACTGTGGCATTGTAAACTCGGCCCTTCAGAGATAGGCAGGTCACCTCGACGTTAGAGATGGAGGAGATTAGCAAAACAATCCGAGCCTTGGAGATGGGAAGAGACCTCATCCGTTAAACCATTAGCGCTGAGGCAGCTTCCGAGGTAAACGAACTTGTTCACCACTTCCAATTAATGACCTAGAAGGTGAAGGTTAGGAGCAGCTCCTACCCAGTCCTGTAAGAAAATCTTGCCTTTCGATCGTGCGTAGGTCATTCCAAACTGGGAGACAGACATCTCCAACATACACAAGACATTTTGGGCGGCTTGTGAGGAAGCGCAGAGTACAGCGATGTCGTCTGCATACTCCAAATCCCGAAGTCTGTCTCACGAAAGCACCTCGACGCCGCTGGGTTCGCAGTTCTCCAGAGCACTCACCAAGATTTCGTCTATAGCAAAATTGAACAATAAGAGGGATGCTGGGCCACCCTGTCTCACGCCACTGGTGATACCAAAGGAAGCGAAAGTCCGCTGTACACCCGCACTTGGCCCGAGGTTTGTGAGTAGATGGCTTGAAGTAAGGTGACATACTTCTCGGGCATTCCCCTTCTCAGTAGACAACTCCAGAGAGCGGCTCGTGTAAGAAGAAAACGATCGTTGGCTGATCACGACACTCGAGTATTTGGCGAAGTGTAAAGATGTGATCGATGCAATTTCTACCTGAGCGGAACCCAACTTGCTCTTCACGTATACTCTGTTCACGTACCAGGTTGAGCCTCCTTAGAAGCAGAGCTGTGAGCACCTTGGAATCAACATAGATGAGACTGATCTCTCTGTACTTGACGCAGTCAGTTCGGGTACCCTTTTTGAAGACGGGCATGATATCCGCTAGGCTCCAGTCAGATGGGATAACTTCAGTGACCCAGATCTCTTGGAGGAGAGATGTTAACTCCTGAACAAGTGATGGGCCGCCATTTTTGAAAAGAGCTGGAGGGAGTTTTTCTCGCCTAGGGAATTTGTAGCGCTTTAAGAGGCGAAGCTCGTGCGCAAAAGCATTAGCTGCTGGTGAAGCGTCTACACACCAGGGAGCGCGCTGGGCTCCAGAATGGGAACTCATTGGTGTTGTTAGCCAATTAGACTGTTGCTCAAACTGCTCGGCCCAACGTTCTAGTCAGCTTTTTAGACAATGGATTGGCTCGCCATTGGTTTCGCATAAAACTTCGCTTACAGTCAGCCTTTTGCCGCCACTAGGTCGGATCAAGAGGAAAAGCTTACGGAAATTCCCCGAGGTGGCCGCTTGCTCCATCCCAATGACCCTTTGCGTCCACCAGACTTCGCAATCTTCCCAGAGAAGCTGTTTGAGCTCAGCGTTAATAGTCCTTCATAGTGAATGATATTTAACGCTAGCAGGAATTACTCGACGGGCTTCGAGAAGTTGGAGGGATTGTGCAGAGATCCAGTGGTTGACAGGACTACTGGAGAAGCCACAAACCAGGGTTGCAGAGTTGTACATGTCGCCGCGGATGTGTGTCCAATGTGTTTCAATGTCTGTGCATGAGGCCGTCTTCAGCCGTGAGGCCAAGGCATCCTGAAATACACGGAGAACGTTCGGGGCAGAAAGCCGTTTCTGGCGACGCTGCTGGGAGCTACCAAAACAAGGCGCAATGTTGGCACACACACACACACACACACCAGCGCATGATCCGAGATAGGTACTCCAGATTCATTTGTAGTCCCGTATGCAACACGGCCAGCGATACTTAATGTGTGGTCAATTTGTGTCCATGGCTGGCCAGGTGATAGGGGTCTCCAGGTGGCGCGTTGGTGCCAGGATCCCCGAAAGCTAGTGCTCGACAGAAAGAGGCCGTGATCGGCGCAAAGCTGAAGTAATCGATCACTGTTGTCAGTTCTGCGAGTTCACGTTCGTCAACTTCAAGTTTACCGACCTGCGCGTTCAAGTCCCCGGCGAGCACTACGATGTCGGTACTGCGCTTTTCACTGAGAATCTCGGCCAACTGACCATAGAGCTCATTCTTAACTGACTCCGGGCTGCAATCTGTGGGAGCGTACACTGCGACAATGAATAGACAGCGTCTGCTGGCTTCGCGCCTGGACAGTCGCACTGGTTTCAAGTCGGATCGCTCATAGTCGACTCTTAACAGGGATCCAGTCTAGTAGCGCGATCTCAGCACATGTGCTCAACGCGATCCCCCGCCAGCGTAACAATGGGCTACGGCGGTTGAATCTCCAGATAGGCCCAAAGTGAAAATGCTGGTGGAATTCGCAAACGGTGAACCTCGTCGCAGCGTCGTGCTAGAGTCCTGTAAATGGGTTTCACTGAGATAGCAGACATCAATGGCCGTAGTTTCTAGAGTGCGAGTAAGGGCTGCTTGTAATCCAATCTGCATCAACGTTCGAACATTGAAGGTTGCCAGCTTAAATTGGGAACGAGGCGCTAGAAATGGCTTGTCAAGACTATTTGGCCCATCCTCGGACCTAGGATCCTGATCCGTATAGCGAGCACGTTCACCCAAGACGGCACGGTGTTGTAAACTCGAAAACGGAGGTGGGAGACCAAGAATGGTTTGTGGTGGTAGTATCAGATCAGAGTGAGCAGATGGACCAACCGCGCGAGCCAGACGGCCAATGGGAGGCGGACGTGATGGAATCGATTAATGGACTCGGATTGACCGATATTTGTATGAGTGATTCACCGTTTGTTTAACTGAAGCAGAGGAGGAACCTCGTCGACTCAGAAGGGTCGATAGTTATGGACTTGAACCTGCAATTTATATTGAAGTGTTTGACTTGTTAATCATGCAGTAATTTTCGCTGAACTGGCTTTGCCGAATAAACGGTTGTCCCTGAAGGACTGCGTTGTGCAACATGGGGGTTGAACAAACGTGGAATAAAATGACTAAACGGTAGTGCGGTAAAACATGGTTTGGCCGGTTCAGTCGGCAGCACCTCAGCCTCTGAGAGCAGTTCGAGAGGGTGCGAGCAGATAGAGAGCGAGCGAAGAATTGTTGAGACATCGATCAAGGAGCTTAACCTACGTAGTGATGCGTTGAACGGCCGCTTCATCACGACGGTGATGTAGCACTACATTGTATATGCCTGGCCTCCATTGTCTTACGTGTTCTTCGAAACCACTTATTCGCCACACTTGTAACTCTCAACGTTGGGTGCAACGGTATCTATGCTTCATGATTTTTGATGGTCTCTTTACATGCGACTCCATTGAAGCCATGCTTGTCCATCGATGGGCATGGAACAGCTGTTACTGTGACAATCATGCAGGTGTTGGCATCTTTTTCACACCAATGAGTTTTTGCGATACCATTACACCGTATTGTGATTTTTATACATTTTAGGAAATCGTCTGGGCATTACGAAGTGAATGCAATGTGATCCCCATTTTCTCTTCCTTCGTTCGGCCTCCGGCTGATATCCTACCCGAGGACATTAGAACAGTATTGGAATTCAATGGAGTGCAGTAAGACTTACACTGTATTCTTATGTGATGGACATCTAGTATTGCTTTTAAAACAGACAAATAAATATTCTCGAATTCATCGATGCTTGGTCGAAATTCCACAAGCAATTATTCGCAACAGGCATGGTGTGTTGCATACAATGGGAAGATGGCTGAAAAGTATACATGTTGCCCAAATATGAAAATTACTGATGAGGAACAAAATCGCTTAATGTGGCGTCAGTCTGTGTTCATGTGTGTCTAGCATAGTGATCAACAGTAAAAACGTGCAAAGTGAATTGGTGCTGGAATGTGCAGATAGGGAAGTATCTTGTAGTGTACGTATCAATGATAGTGAAATGTGGCGCTAAGCAACTTGCCAGTGTAAAGATTTGGGGTGTGACTTTACTTGGTGATGAGTCACTTCCGGGGAGGTACTGCGTTGTCTTTACCAAGCGCGATCTGTATTCGGGTTTTATCATCCTCAGGTAACACATGTTTGACAGAATCTGATTCCGGATTTGCCTGTCAATGCGGCCTCCATAAGACAGCCATAGGACGCATGCGCCTACTGAGAGACCATTAGTGATTTTCGCTACACCACCGACAGCTCCATCCACGCTCCCCATATCCAGTGTAAAACCGAAGGAATAAGACCGGGAGCCACATTTCATCAACGGAGCGGGTCCACACTTCAATATGCACAACAGCAGCATTCCTGTCTATCTAGGTGGGTAATCATGCGTACCAGAGGTACACAAGGCGGTGGCTGGATCGCAGTCCGTTCCATGCAAGATAGAACCACTCTTTGAGCTTAACGCGGCTAAGAGTACATTTCACCCCGCCCCCCATCAACGATTCACAATCTCCTGTAGCCAGTAATTGTGTTGGAGGGTAATCGACAGGTATGCAACTTGTCAATATTCACATCAAGCGCAGCCACACTGGGGGTATCAAACAACCTACATAGAATTCGAATGAAAATAAACATTCAAGATTGACACGAAATATGCAACAGAACAACATAAATGGGCAAATCAAATGAAGAGGAGTACATTCTACCCAGGTTAAAAAGATCTAGTTTAGGTATAACTTGTCTTCGCTCAACTTCGGTGAAGAAGCATCATGTATGCAACCTGAACCTCAGGAAACACCTACACCTCACCTAACCGCTTATCTTCGCGGAACTGTCGTAGCACCTGTGCCCACACAGGGACACATGTTACCACTGCTCCATCTGTGGAGCTGTATGCACATACCCGCCCCATTTTCATCGCCAACGAAACTCATTAAGTCCGGGGCATGCGAATACAAACGTAGACCATATCTCACTCGGCCTGTTTACCATCTATGTATGAGTGTGTTGGTGTGACGACAGCTCATCACTCTCTGCTGTAGCCTGGATAATTCGAACGTGCTTCGTTGCTATTCAATCATGATTGCACTACAGTTGCAGCTGTTTAGACAGGTGGACTGGTCGGCTGACTCCGGTCTCTCGTTTCCAATATCTAACTTATTATCAAGTAGCTGGTGGTCCTGCGGCAACACTACACTTTGCTCATGCGAAGCACATGTCAAATGATGAAATCATCCAAGGTGATTTACGTACGCTCTAGACTTGCTTTTCGTTGCACCCACCACACGGTGGGTAGCCCGAAACTCAACAATCATACTGGGTTTATTAAACCGCCTCACGATTGCCATATATCATGCCAATATTGTCCAATATGCATGCAACCTATTGCACCATCTGTCTTATATTGTGAACGTATAACGCCTAGATGCATGGCGGCTTAGCCTGCTGAGGGCTATTCATAATAAAAATCCAATGGGTGATGTTTGAATATAGCTGCGGACAGCAGTAGCACTGCAGCCATTGTTAGTCGATGTAGGGATCATCGAAGGAAGACCACTAACGGTATCGGGAGGGTCATACGATAAACGAGTGGAGAAGGAAGAATTGTGACATTGGCACTATTGTTTTTGTTTATCCTCTCTACTGTACTCAGCAGACGAGACAGTCTCAAAACTGCGCGTCGACCGATGCAACACGTGGCTGAACGTTGATTCATGGTTGTCTGTGGGCTGGTACATTTCAAGGGTGCCCATACCCAGCACCATTAGACTCCTCAACTGAAAGCGTTGGCCCAAATTCCTAGCTGAAATCCAACGAGAACATGGCACTGATCCGGTTTTGCAGCAAGGGATGCTGCTCCTGTTCCAACTCCAAATTCGGAAACCCAGAAGACAGCTTGCAGTCTCCGTTTCCACTAATCGGATCCGCAGCATGGTCATTTTCTCCTTATGTTCCTGCCATTTCGCTCATACCGCGTTGGTGTTCAAAGACACAATTAAACGTTTGAGCAGAACCACTTTCTTGGTACTTTCAAACGGCACTGACAGCAGGGAAACTGTGCCTTTGTGATCTTCAGGTTATACGGCACACGATGAGAAGGAGCGATCGTAAATCACATTTATAAGCGGATACCATGCTAATATGTAGTGTCTACACACGATGGCATAAAATCCGTCTGTGCGCTCAATATGTTTAGCATATCCACCCAGTCCCAGCCGCAGATAAAGTAACATCAACCTTGCTTGATGCAAGATCACAGATCTGACTAAGCGCTACGTGAGTGTTGGCGCGATGCCTATTCTTCTGATGTTATCACTTGGAGTACTGACTGCAGAAGACCTAATTGTTGCTGACTGAGACCGCATACAGTCTTGGTACCACCACTGGACTACAAGGATAATTCTATAACGGCAACATGTCATACCTCAAGCACCACCCTTTTTGCGTCTGACACGCGGGTTATCCATATGCGTGTTGAATATGAGTCGTAGTTTCTTCAACGTGGATCGCGATCTCATTTCTCCGTGTTCACCAGTGGTGCAACACAAGTTTCCCATGCTCTTTCTGCGTGTGCGGGCACCTCCTAGCTGCAGCGACAGCAAACCCGGATGCCGGGTCCGTCAACCGCGTGTTTTCTGGCCATTCGCTCTGTGGATGCCCACCTGGTGAGAGTGACCGACTTACCAACTTGGCTTTAACATATTGACCCTGAGAGTTAGTTGCTTCTATCCAAGCCGGCCACCATTATCCGTCTGCTCAGTTCAATACTGAGCAGATCACGAACTCATGCCATTAAGTAGCTAAAGGCAAAAATTTAGCCTCTCCTTGAAAAGTCACATAACGCATATACTACTAACAGCGAGCTTTCTTATCCCGACCCCATTGTTGCAGTTTCCTAGTGAAACCTAGACAACCATCTATTGGTCATGATTACTAAGCATAGTACATGGGTACTGGGTGGCGCAATTCTCTGCGTTCCTTATGTTCTCATATCAGCACATTAAGCCACCTCTGAGCAACTTGCATTAATATTTTAGCATTTCACTCGTGCAACGTCGGCCTGCGGTGCTGGTTTCGGGGCCTTCATATGGGCGGTTCTCGCCTTCGTGCTCCCCGGAGAGACTCCCCGGGCCGTGGGCGGTGAGCGCTGCTCTCCTATGTGTGAGTTTCCCGGTTCGGCGCCATCTTACGGCTACGAGGCTTTGCTGAGCTTTGGGTGACGCGCTCCGGGCGATAGCCTTAGTGCCTATGGACATCCACTTGACTTCAATGGGGGGTTTCGCGGGCCGACATCATTTCGCAAGACATTTTGAATGCCGCTCATTTGGGGCTTGGGCTGATTTCCCTGCGCAATACGGATTCGTGGGTCATTACGGTACCTAGCTTTTAGTAATTCATCTTATGTCTCACTGATGGTCCCTTTTTGTTGTCAGTGTTTTTGTCAAACTGGACACTTTTCCTATGTCCTTGAGAAAACGGAGACAGCTTAGGAAATGATGAATTCATGACTGTGATTCGGGATTTAAGCGAATGAAGTCCAAGTGTCATGGACGCAAGTGACCCTGCTGTTAGTTTGAGTTCACTCGATTGCTCTCGCGATTCTTCCCCCATTATGACACATTTACCTCGTGTATTGAAACTTCAGGTAGATGGTCGCGATGATGAGTTCCAAAGTTCCCTATTTGCTTACTCGGAGCTACGACAAATCCGCCCACTGCGACTCGGTTGCCGCCATCATTTTTCCATAGGCACACATCTGCAGTGAGCTGTGATGACGACCTATGAAATACGAATCAATTGGTGGAATTGTGTCACTATAGTGAACCCTTTTGGCGGCTGCTTAATGTCTACTTGTCGCATCTGACTCTGCCCAACGATACTCCTTTGTACTCGGATTATTTCTGCATAGCATCCTGACACCGTATCGAAACACATAGACCAAGTGCATGGAAGCCTAAGCGTGTCTGCTTACATTCGGAGCGACTTTCTGACGTAACCAATGGGTTGGCCATCAGGGGATACACATAACTGCAACCTTTCTGTCCGGTAATCAACAAAACACTGAGCGAGCACACACACAGAGCGAACATCTTCACTGATCGTTCCGGTAAACTCCCTCCAATGTCACTGCTCTCTTTGTTCTTGTGTTCCCTGTCCTCGTAGCCGGATGGCATCCAACTAACCTTTTGATTCACGATCAGCTGGAAGCCCCCCATGATTTTCAACCTAATGATTCTGTTGATAATAGCTTTCTGTTAAAACTACCGATCACTCTATTTTAGGTACCTTTTGTTCCACGAAACCCTATGGTAAAAGCGTTCTCCTTATATTTGAGCTCTAAAATCAACAGTCGAATCGATGTAGCAGTTTTCTAATATATATATGGTTGGGGCATCGGGTTCTGGATGTGCCTGCCACTGTGGCCAGCCACAGGACGCCTGCGCCTACAGAAGGACCATGGGTGGCTTGCGCTGCACCATCCACAGCTCCAACCACGCACGCCATATCCAGTGTAAACCCGAAGGAATAAGACCGGGAGGGGTGTGGATGGGAGCCACGTTACATCAACGGAGCCGGCCCACACTCCTTCACAGGCAAACACAAGCACACTGTATTCGGGGAATCAGTCGCACACAAGGCGGTGGCTGGAACGTAGTCCGCTCCA